TCGTTTGTATGCAGAATCTGGGCTAGGATATTCGTACAATTGGCTCACTTGGGGTCTTTGTCGATCACTGCCCACCAACGTTCCTTGATTCTCATATGCGGGGAGAGTGTGCGAGTCGAATGCAGGTATCCCAACACCTGGCCCGAAAGTTCCAGGCTGCGGGACGTAGGTTGCAGATGTACGACCTTCACCAGAAGGGATTGACAAAGGGGTTCGGTTGTAGAGTTGTTGATTCGCGGGGACCAGTGGGGGAGGTGGAGGAGGGGGTAGATAGCCTTGGGACAGTGCTTGTCTTGCCGCCCAGTTCTGCTGCCATCCAAGGGTGTTTGGAGCTTGTACTTGTGGGTTAGATATCTTCGCAGCGCCGTATGCTGTTCCTGGGGGTGGTCCGGGAGGTGGTGGGGGAACTACCCCTTGAGTTTGTGCTGGCTGATATCTCGGAGGGGGAGGAGGCAGTAGTATGTGCGACTGAGAGGACTGCGCCGAGGGAGGCGGTTGAACCGGAATATACTGTTGCTGCCGTTGGCCGTCCATGGTATCAGTCTTTTGGCAAATGCCAATGCTATAGGGTACACCAAGTAGTCAAGAAACCCCGAATATTCTCCGCAGCTGACTGGTCCTCTTCCAGCACACGCCTTCCTGAATCCTGACAAACGTGATCCCGGAATTTTATGGTATGGAAGTGAAACTCATCATCGACACTCAACACTGTTCCGGTGGATATATATTCTGTAACGGCTTTCGCTGTAGGCGCGAGGATACTCGAGGAGCAAGTCTTGTTTTTAGGGGAAGGATGGTATTGGGCAAATATAAAACATCTCCGTGTTTATCAATCAATGATTTGACTCTATGTCCTAAGCAGCATCCAGTTTCTTCAGCCAAATATGCACAAATGGTGTTACAGGCAGTAAACTGGCGCTGTTGATTCCGAGGTTTACCTTCGATTGCGCGGATGGCGTGGGAGGCAATTCAGAGAACTCCGAAGGCGCGATGGGAATAAGGTGAAGCATTTATTGGCAGGAAAAGAAAAAAAATATTATTGTCTTAAAGCAGCTAATTGTGAATAAGTAAGCGATAGCCTCGAAAAGATGCGTTAATCAACCCCTGATCGTAGTAGGCATGCTAGTGTCTTCGCAGGGGGAGGGGGGGGGGGGGTTAAATCGGAAGGGCCGACGGGGAGAGATAAAACATACCACAGCCACTTAATATTAAATTGCTGGGAGGAGAGCGATAGTTAGCTCTCTGACTGGGTCGATGACAGCTGGTCAAATCTTGGCGCCACAAAGAGTTATTGCCGTAGCTTCTCAGCTTGGGTCGAAATGCGCTCTCAATCACGGTCGGGGTAATCAATCAATCGAGGCCCGGCCGAATGTTTTAACGGGAGGAGTTTAATTAATGAGAGAAACGCCAGAGCTTCTGACGCCAAATCACGTGGCCGATAAGCACCCGTCTTGTTTCTCTCTCTCTCTCTTTCTTATTTTTCTTATAAATTTTTAATTTTATTCTACCCCGTATTTTATTTTGCTTTAAATTAATCCTTATTCTTTAGCTTTGACCTGCCTTTCTTTCTCTCCTTTTAATCCAAGGCTGTAGTCCTCCATTAAATGCCGCCTTCTCTGAAACAACTTTGATTACTGTTCCTTTTTTCTCGCAAAGGAGTTTCTCACTATAAGCTTGTCTCGAGTCATTGGAGGATGTGATAGGCAAGAGATTGAGACATGTTGTTCAGTCAATCTCGTTTAGAGACAAACTAGTGATGTTTAGGATCTATAGCGCATGAGAGGTTGAGAACACCTCACCAGAACTACCTCCTTTTCTCCACTTTTAACTGTTGAACGTTTCTTTCAGCCCTACAACGGTCCCTTAGTCCAGCTAGCCACGCTTTCTTCCCTGAGCAGCACTTGAACAAAGCTTGTTCAACCAACCCCCCCCCCCCTTCGTACACCCGAGACTCTTGTTCTTTTCTTTTCTTTTTTTTCTTTTTCTCCCTCTCTTCCAAGAACATTTAATTCATTGTCGTTTAATCCAATTGATTCGAGTGTCAACTTAGAAAGGTATTTAGAAGAAAGAAAGAGAGGTAAAGCAGATAAATAACCGATTAAAACTATCGCAATCAACAGAATCTCTTAACCACGTGTCATGATGAAATTAAAGACGCATGGTGGCATGCCAACTGAAACCGATTTCCCGAATCGTAAAGAAGGAAAGAGATTTGGTTTATTCCGGAGTATGTCTTGAAGAAATTAAAGGGACTTGTTCCGCTCAGCGGCCGATTCGGCTGTCAATTTCAAACTGGCTGGGCAATCATCGCGAGGCATGTGGAGCTCAACCAACTACTTTTGATTAGTATCACTGGTACATTTTAGACAGGGGCAAACGGGTTGTAACCTACCTGTAGACAAGGTGCCGAAGCAAACTCTTCATTTGCGAAAAGCTCCCTCAACTCGTCCCGGGTCGTGACTTTGTATCCTTTATACTTGTCCTTTGCGCCGAATGCCACAGGAATGTTCAAGAAGTCCCAGGGCTGGATGTCATTGTAAACAGCATCCCATCCATGAATATACCGTTCGATGGTATATCCTTCGTTGCAAATGACAAAGCTACGGATGATGTTAGCTGGGCATGAGACTTGTGACACTCAAAGGCGAAACTTACATGATAGGGTTAAGGTTATTCCTGATCATGGTGCTGACTTCCTGGAGCGTCAGCTGGAAACTTCCGTCACCCACGAAAAGTACAGTCCGTCGACCCTGCTCCTTCGCGGCCAGCGCGGCTCCTTGGCAAGCTCCGACTGAATAACCGATACTGCCCCAAAGAACCTGACTAATGGCTGTAACACCTGCTGGGAACCGAGTGTCCCAGATACCGAAGTTGGCAGTACCAGTTTCCGTAATAACAACATCCTTTTCTTTCAGCCACTGCCCAACTGTAGGCCAGAGCCATGCGTGGGTAATCGCCTGTTCAGTTGATGCCTTCTCGCTGTCTGGCAGTAGGTTCGACGGCGGTGAGACTGGTCCGACATTGAGATTGCCCATTCTTTGAACAATCTTTTGAAGAACGCCTTTCATGTTAATATCAGGATATTCGGAGTACCGGACGCGCACGTATGTACTGTGGAAGTCAATGGTGTTGAGTTGGCCAATACGATAGGAGAATCCAGTCGTGTTGAAATCAGACTTGATAGCGCCGATGCTCAGAATCAAGTCTGAAGACTCAACTTGCTCACGAACACCCGGGTTTGATCCAGTACCAGCGTAAACACCGCCATAGTTCTTGTGAGTCTCGTCCACTGCTCCTTTACCCATTGGAGCCACAAATGTGGGCAATCCAGATTTTTCCACAAACTCATGAACTTCGTCAAGCACACGATGGCGGATAGCACAAGCGTCAACAAGAATAACGGGTTTCTTTGCCGCGTGCAGATACTTCAGAACCACGTCCACAACGTAATCTTCCTTTTCGGGATCGTTCAGTGGCAGGCTGAGATCGAGAGGGGTATCCAGCCGTTCTCCCTCGATCTTCTTGGTCACCATATCAGTAGGGAGAGAGATATAAACCGGTCGACTGCGAACCCAACATTCGCGAATAGCGTTATCAATGAGGGTTGCCACTTCATGAGTTTGGTTCAAGCATCCAAGAGTGCACGAGATGTCGGCGCTCATTCTGGTGAAGACGTTGAAGTCGCCGTTGCCCAAAGTGTGGTGGAGGAGCATCCCATCCTTCTGTGATTTCGTATGCGGTTGGCCAACAATGTGAACAATAGGTACAAACTCGGAGTATGCACCAGCAATAGCATTGAGTGCCGATAGCTCACCCACACCGAAAGTGGTGACCAATGCAGCCATTCCATTGATTCGAGCATATCCATCAGCAGCGTATCCTGCATTTGACTACCGTTAGCGATATACACTACTCCTTTATCATGCTCAGAAATCCCAGTGGCCATTCAGTGGAGACATACCAGCATTAAGCTCATTACAGTTTCCTACCCAATGAAGATCGCATTTTGGTAAGTAATCCAAAGCCACCAGGTTGTAATCCCCTGTGAGAATTGATATTGTCAGTAATTGCGTTGAAAGCCAGCGAGTTGATACTTACCAGGAACACCATGTACTGCACGAACGCCAACCTCACGTAGTCGCCTAAAGAGGTACTCTGCGACATCGATGGGCTTGCGAAGATCCCTTGTAGCGATATCTGTCGCCATTGTAAGGACTCAGTAGAAAAATTGGAAGTTATAGTAGATGATAAGGTCTTGGTTATGGTTTGTTGGATACTGGATTCTTCCTGAAAACATGGACAAGGGCGGCAGTTATATAGTAATGAATGCAGTCCTGTACACCTCGACGTGCAACAAAATAACCAGACCATACGTCATGATAACGTGATGTCAGGGCTTCCAGGCCGAGTTGGATAAAAGGTCGTACACAAAAATTACAAACTTACAATACCGTCAACCACCGCTGTCATAGTCAAGGTTGCAATGTAGTTAAGGCCTGCGGTAAAAGAAATACAAAGTGTCTGGGCTATCCCTAGGGTAGTTCACGGTGAAGAACACTTGCGACCCAACGCAATGGAGAATGGGCCGATGGTTGGAAGATAGTCTATATCGGGATCTACCTGATAACTGTTTGGAAGGTATATCCGTGGTTCTCCATGCCGACGAACCCGAGGCTCCGAGTCGCTGGCGTGACAGTCAGCCCACCCCACCCGATACGGATGGGATGATGCCTAGGTACTCTTCCACTAAACCGAATGTGGACGTCTCGACACCCCCGCGGCGTTGCCGCAATGCCAATGATAATCAAGAATTTCCAGGGAAGACCACACAGCGGCATCAGACACTAGCATTATTGATATGTTGATCTGGCCAAACTCGTGCAAACATACAGCAACCTTAACTTTTTTTTAGAAATAATCCCTGCGAGGAAAAGAACGGCACCAGTACCTAAATTTGACTCGGACTACATCCGTGAATGGCGGGAACAGGAAAAAGGACCATGCCGGACAACTCATCTCAGTCCTCTAAAAGAAGAAAGGTTGGCCTACTTTTGCTTTGCCTCTCGGCGAGCTTGATCCAATGATCTTCCGAATTTTCCCTTCTTCTCTTCGTTACATACATTGCTCCAGTAGTCAGGAGATCTAATGTGTGCTACAGGGAGGCAGTAATTGGCATAAGCACCAAAATGGCAACGGTGGCATTGAAAGTGGGGATTGGGGAGTTTTTGTAAGTTGTGAAATAGGAAAGGAAGGGAAATGTATCTCAGAGGTGCTTGATCTCTTCTCTCAGGTTAGTACGATTCTACGGGAGAAACTTTGACCAGAAAGATGCGGTGCTCTGCGGCAATTTTTCGGACTCTTCAACTGTGCAGCTGACATATGCCCTGTGCACCAGAGCATCGAAACGCCAGACGCTGGGGGTCAAGGTGGTGACTCCGGCTCGGAGGACGAAGATGATATTGAAGCCCAAATCAGAAAGGAAGTCGAAGGTCTGAAGCCTAGTTCGGCTAAACCTCGTCAGTTTCAGGCCATCAGGCTAGACATTCCGTGTGGTTCGTCGATGCTTTTAGCGCTATCCAAAGATTATGCAACTAGGACTAAAACTGATCCAGTATCGTTTATACGATTCGATAAGTCGATTGATCCCGAGAAACTAGTCCATCAGATCTGCGTGGATGCGCATGCCAACCCAAGCAGGAAGAGAAGCAGATACATCCAACGGATGACGCCTGTCAAATCTATCCGAAAGACCCTCAGCGTTGATTTAGAGGCTTTTGCGGGTGAGATTCTAAAACCTCACTTTCACTCCGGTGGGGGTCCCAAAAAGGTATGTCATAGCACCTTGAGCTTTATATTTCCAGACATGCCCTTAGTGTTCACAAATGCAGTTCGCTATCCGGCCTGCGATAAGGAGAAACCAAAAGTTCGACAGAGACAGTCTCATCAAAACAGTAGCCAGTGTTGTGGGACCTGAGCATTCTGTTGATCTTGAGAATTATGATCTTATTATCCTTGTTGATATTATCCAGGTATATTTTTCACCTAACACTGCTCTCATGCTCTTTAAATACGTTTTCCCACATGGCTGACCCCTGTTTCCAGAACGTGATCGGCATGAGTGTTGCCGGAAGTGATTACGAGAAGCTGAAAAGATACAATCTGGCCGAGCTCTACAAACCAGCACCAAGCGCGCAGGAAGTTGAGCCCAAACAGTCAACTGATTGAATCCTGGTTTGAATCGACTTTCGTAGCATATAATACATTTGATCTGAGCGGTGAAAATAGTGAATATCAACCTTGGATATTTAAGAAATACTACCTAATGGATTATTACAGTATCGCCCAAAAACAAGAAGAAGAGGAAGGAGAAGAAGAAGAAGAAAAGACAAAAAGGGAAAGAAAGAACAAAGGCCTGTGGGAAAGTAACGAACAAGTCCGGTACCAGGATGACTTCCAAGCTCCACTGTGCTTCGTAGAATCAAGTATATACCATGACCCGGTGAACACCTACTAGGACTGGCAGTAAGCATTTAGTCATACCGAATTTGTTATTTCCCTCGTATTTGAGGAGAACAAAATCTTGGAAGAACCTTAATGAGGACCACGCCAGCGGAGATATTTCCAGAACCATGGTAGTAAATTGATAGCATTACTGTCAGTATTTGGTATTAAGACTATGTACTACTAGCTAACCTTCTTTGGAAGGAAAAATTCCGGGTGGCTTTATCCGGTAGGTAAAATTTATGGTACTTAGTTACTAGGAGAGATATGCTACTATATATATTTTTGTTCAGAGAATGCGTGTTATTTACTTATTGAATACTAGGAGTGTAAGATTGACATCAAGATACATATCTCCCACTCAAAAGCTGAGAACAGTAGCCAAGACCTCTTTGAGTAAGATGAGGTTCAGATAGGATGTGGCTGAGGTTAGCATGGAAGGCGTTGCGGCGGGCGCTTCAATGTAAGATCTGATTAGTGCAGCTCAGACAGAATAGGAAGGCGCCATAAAAGCGATTCATATCGTTCTACTTACGGCAAGGTCGGACGATATCCAATGTGCTACCTGTACTTAGCATGGACCTGTTAGTTCTGGAAACAAACTGGTGCTTTATGTACCTACATACATTATTGTAAGCGAAAGTCAAGACTTTATAGTACCCACGTACCCACCACCAACAGAGATGCCCGCAGTTTTTGAGGAAATGATTGCACCACGGAAAGGCCTTCTTTTTCTTTTTCTTTTTTTCCTTTCTCTCTCTCCTTTGCCCAAAATAGCAGTTACACTCGAGTCCATGTGATTCATTGGGTCTGGTTGTCATGGATGGAGAGGCCCACTTACTTCCAAGTGGGAACAACTCGAATACTCTCGATTCCAAATCTCCAAACCTTAGCCCAAAGGTACCATTGTTTGACCATTCGACGGCCTTTCACACGTGCTTGGGACACGTGTTTGCCTCGCCAAAAGGGTGATGGATCAACCTGGCCCGGGGTACTTGAAATTGTATGTACAGACCAGGTTTGTACTTGTTACGAACTGAGTATTACTCATTTCATGCTCCTACCCCAACATTAGCAGCTCGCCATAATTCCTCGTCATGATGCCATTCCTAATCACGCGTGAAGACCACAGGTCATGACAGTGTTTCCAGAATCCATCAGATGTTTCGAGTCTGTTTCGGTTGAGAGTAGGAGTTCTTCGTTAATATGGTCCAATTAGCGGTCTACTCCATAAACTAAGTTTTTTTTTTTTATATATCGAATAATGTTGAGTGATTCGGGGAACCAAGAGTCCCAAAAACCAGAACAAAACAGGTATAGAAAACGTAAGAGACATTTTGGGAAATTAATTTGTGAAACTGCAAGTGCACAGATATATTTTCAAGGCGCACAAGTACTAAGACGAGTCCACTACAGGGGATCAAAACTCCTTAGGTGGACGGGACGCTTTGTTGTCTTCGGCAAGGCAGACCTCTGATTGGGTCAACTGCATCGCACCTTTCTAAGAGCGGGAGCCTTAGGCGAAAGCCCCAGTTCTTAATGTCACTCACTCGATTGACCTCATCAGTGCCCGCATATCTCCGTGCAATCCAGTCGGCTCATTCCTCCGTCTAACCAGTCAGGGGGCACGTTCGCTTGACTGGCGACCCCATTACTACAATGTCATTGAATCCAATTTTGTGGTTTGCTTTGGCGATTCGGGAGAGAACCAGTGGGTGATTTGCCGGTGGTAGAATGGTCTGGTAAATTGAGACGATAGCGTCTCATACAGCCGAACTGCAGAATACATAGGCGAACGAAGCAGGAGTCCTTGATGTGGATCCTCGTTTAGACGATCCAATTTAACACTTCTGATAGCATCTTAGCCTTGGCTTCGTTACGCTGTAGGGTGGTATTCCAGGATTGATGTCTGAACCATGTTTTTTCTTAACCCTCCACGTTCCCTCCTCCCTCATATGTTGCTTTCTATCTTCTATAAAGCTTGGTCATAAGCGGGTTCGCCCTGGCTAATATATAACATTCCATAATGAGCAAACTAGTATTTATCTTTGCCGACAACCTATCCCTCAAGCCAGAACAATAAATCATGTGTCCTTCCTTTACTGACCATTACTCTCGCGGGTTCGAAGTATCTGAGAAGCTGTGTACAATTATCCAGCGGATCTTCACTTCTGCTGTCCATGTCAGCAACATTTCCCCCCTTGACGGGCACCTCCATCCCCTTTGTCTCATATCACTATCCAATGGAAACCATGTACTTTTGAAATGTTCGCCGGCGCCGATGACACCGTTACTACGGCGAGAGCAATTCATACTTGATACAGAAGCCCGTGCACTCGACTTACTCGAGCAGAGCAGAATTCCCGGCATTCCGCAAATATTCCATTACAACTCTCGAGGTAATTTACGTGATTCCGCCTTTTTGATGCGGCATTATGTGACCGGAGCTACACTACATGAGATGGAACCCTGGCTTACTCCTCAGAATCGGAAAGATATTGACCGGCGACTGGGATTCTTAGCCCAAAAGATTGGACAACATGTGTCTGGTTCCTTTGGGACCCTGGAGCAGGTAGCCAGCGGCGCTGGAAGGCGATCATGGCGAGAGGCCTTTGTCATCCTGTTTGAAAGCGTTCTCCGTGACTCAGAGGACGTCTTTGTCAACCTTCCTTATGCTGAGATAAGGCACCAGCTTAGTCGGCTATCACCAGCGCTTGAGGAAATCACTTTGCCGCGATTAGTAGTCGTTGACTTTGGTCACCCTACGCAAGTACTAGTCGATCCCGAATCCAAACAGTTATCTGGCATTGTGGACTTGGGAAAAACGCTATGGGGTGACATCTACATGGGTGAAATATTTGAAGAACCATCGTCTTCGATGTTGGACGGCTTTGGACGATCGCTGATGGTAGGAAGCGAGATGGAAAAAATACGGCAGCTTTTGTATGTGAATCTGTCCTACAAGGAGTTTGGGATATGTAGCACTGACGTTCCTTCTTTGTCGCCACTTTTAACAGATATGCTTGCTATCGGTCGGTTGAAAGAGTCACCGTGCAATACTATCGGAATCGAGATATGATTGCGGAAAATGATGCAAGGAGGCGGTTGACGATGATATTGAACAAGATGGCTGCTATCTGAGGGATGAACCCGGTTCTCAGACCTACAAATGGGGGACTCATTTCAGGGGGTTGCACAATACCGGCGTTTAGGTGTTCTTTGATACAAGCCCATAGATTTCATTTCGAGCGGGACTCGGAACTACTAGTATCTAAAGGTAGGTAACGGGAATGGGAATCTAGACCTGATAAAGCTAAATCTGGGCGTAAGCAGAAGGACAGGACCGCCTCAACTAGAAGTAAATATTCGGTCGATTGTTGCTGCCTAGCAGATCTGGCGATTACTGTCTGTAATACAAATGCTTGGCTCGGACTTGATTACAGTCCAGGTTTGCTAGGTGATTTGCGAAAGAAATTGCTTCAGTTGGATAATAAATATTGGTGCTGTCTTTTGTCAATATCTTAAGCTATCTATCTATCGACGCGTTAATACTAACGCTGATAAATAAGTACAACAAGTAAAAGTATTTCCTTTGTTCTAGAGAAGATAGACCAATAGTAGTATAGTTTCTCAGAGATACCCTCTACTTGACTTGGACCTGATACTACTGTAGCAACCATAAGCCCCTCCTAGATGATGAATCCGAAGCTAGTATATGCCGAAGTGAAAATCAAGTATTAAGTGATTAAGTCTCAGTGGATCTTAAAGACAAGGAAATCTAAATCCAAAACTTGTTTAGTAGAAAATCCCAATTATCCTATATCTTCCCTGTTTTAGATCTGCTCATATATCGGTGGATAAGTATTACACGATAGGTTTCCTACTGCTAATACTAATAAATGACGGTTTACGATCTGATCTGCACCCCACCTTTTCATTTCTTTTCCTTTTGTTTTGATATCCCCCCCCCCCCCCCCATCTTCTTCTTTTCTTCTTGTCAGTTGGTATGTATGTACTGCTAGTACTAGCTGTACTTGTTCGTTGATTTTCAGGAGGTCGTAATTTATAGGGCAGAAAAGAAACCTAATTAAAGGGCGGGGCTGATCGGCTGCCCTGCAACAGTGTCCGCGCCATGACGCTTCAAAGCTCATATGTGGGGTCTCCGCTCCGTACCCCTTCAACACCGCGAAACACAGCTCATCCTTCTCTTTCCTCCCCTCCACACTCTTCTTACCTCTCAGTAGAGCTTCACATTTGCAGGAAATGGCGCATTTCCTGAGAGGAAAGCAAGCTGGCATCCAAAAGGACCTGTCCGACGGCTTGTCGCCGGACTTGTTCGCCCTCGATGATGTATGTCTTGGCACCCAAGGCAACATTTTTCCGGTTGCTCACCTGTTCGCAGTTTGCTCGATATGGCATAAATTCTCAGATCAGCGCTATTGCCTACGATCCTATTCAATCTCTTATTGCCGTTGGTACCAGTGATACTCAGTTTGGCAGCGGTCAGATCTATGTTTTCGGCCAGCGTCGGGTATCCGTTGTCTTTTCACTGCCCCGGAAGGCGTCGGCCAAGTTCCTACAATTTTGTGCCGACAAACTTGTCAGCGTTGATTCGAAAAGTGAAATTTGTGTTTTCTCCCTCGAGACACGACAGACGCTCTTCTCTTATGCCCCGCCTAATCATGTCAGCGCATTGTTGACGGATCCTAGCCTCGACTATGCCT